ATTATTATTATTATTATTATTATTATTATTATTATTATTATTATTATTATTATTATTATTATTATTATTATTATTATTATTATTATTATTATTATTATTATTATTATTATTATTATTATTATTATTATTATTATTATTATTATTATTATTATTATTATTATTATTATTATTATTATTATTATTATTATTATTATTATTATTATTATTATTATTATTATTATTATTATTATTATTATTATTATTATTATTATTATTATTATTATTATTATTATCATTATTACTATCACAACCTCATCTGATCTACTATTCCCTGACCCCAGTTGATGCTATTCTGCAGTAAATGTTTTGGCCCCTCCCTACCTAAGAATAGAAGCTGACCCGCTGATGCAGAGACATTCATACTTTAGATACTTATGCCCAGGCAAGCTGGTTGGAAGTATGTTCATTGACAGAGACAATTTTATGTGGTAGATTCAACCAAACACATGGCATAGTAGATTGTGAATGGTAAGCTGTGGGAACCAGCTGGGTACAAATCAATTCTGTCTTTTGTGGATGCAGTTGAACTCAGTACTGTGCTGTAGTAAAAGGGTTGGCTGTTGGCCATATTTGGTTAATTGAACTTGTTAAGTCAGCCTCTTAGGACATGGTGATTTCATGATTTAATGAAACAACTGACACTTGATTACTATTGTTATCAAATGATGGGTTCCATAATTTGGAGGATTTAATTACAGATACATATGCCAACCTTGGTATTGTTCAGAAAGACCAAAGTATTCTGTGATATTGAGTCAGCTACCTGACCTTGTACCACCTGCACCACTCTCAAGTCATCTTCAATATACCTCTTTGTGTACATTCCTCCACACTTTCACACCTTTGGTGACTAGATGGCCTTGTCCCTTCTTGTCACCTTGTCCTTAGATCTGGTCTCTCCAGATCCTCCCCAATACTAATATAGTTTGACTGGATTCTCATAAAAAATAATCAGCTTTGCAGATATACATACTGCCACTTTTACATCTATCCCTTACAGGATTGCCACTCAACATGAGGCTTGAACCTTGTGTTACTTTCACATGAAGGAATCCAATAATAATAATAATAAGTGGAAGCAGTTTGGTATTTGCATTCAGGCAAAGAATTTGATGCCCTTGGCCAAAGGAAGAAAGCATCCCCAGCTCCTCGACTGGGGTGTCATACTCAACATGACTTAAGGCCCAATCTGGTAGAAGCTCTTTCAAATGACACAGAAGTAATTTGATTCCATCAGAAACACACTACAGTGACTATCATAAGCTAACAAATAATAAGCACAAAGCTGAATATCAGATTTTATTCTTAGAGAGATATGACACTTGGGTGTGAAAGTTGAGATCTCTATGTCACAGTATTGTGTCGTTTGGGGGGAATCAACCATGCGAGCTCTGGTCGTGCCACCCCACAAGTGAGGCATGGTGGCAGAATCACTGACAGTTCAGCCAGTCATATTCATTGCATCCTTCCATTGGTCAACGCATTGCAATGTATATACATATACATCCTGTATGCTAATTCCCCTCTTGATCGGTGGTATGGACTTGCGACGTCCTAATAAACCTGGCCGACACCGAGAAATCCCATCGCAAACAGTTATGATTGAGGGAGTGAGGGATGTGCCCCTTTAGACGGGAGCAAATTTGGGCGTCGTCGGACACATGCGCGCGCCCGCCACCCAACAGTGCTCCACACAGTTCTCTAAATACCCCCCTCCCTTTTTCCACGGCTCCATGTCGTCTGCTCAGAGCCCAGGCACTTCGAGTGGTAGGGAACTGCGAGATAACAGCAGTTATCTTACAGTAGTTCGTGCCCAAATCAACTTCGTTGTGTCAACTCTGTCCGAAGAAAACTTCGATCGCAATTCGAACGAGATTCGCTCAGTGCGCAAATGTCGTCCTTCGACTTCTTAGATGTTGCTAATCGGGATTGAGCAGTTATGTGATCAACATGGTCCTGAGGTTGAGATTCATGTGATCCGGTCGCTCATCCGGGTCTGTGGGTTAGATCCTGCCGCTCCGTTGCCCTTCCGGTTGCTATCTCAAGAGGTCCGCCGTCTAGCCAGAGTGCCGTCCAAGGCTGGACGCTTCCGGGAGGCAGTGGAACGTGGAGAAGGCGACGTCTTTCGAGTATTCGACTTCTCAAAGTTCGTCAATGCGGTCCACTTAAGTGCGTTGGAGAAGGTTATCCTTGCCGCTCATGTGGCAGCCAGTGTGAGCCGAAGTGATCTCGCCATTCAAGGCAAAGCCGTGTTTGCTGCAGATTTCAATACAGCAATGGTCCAACTGCTGCAAACGCCCTCATTCGAGACTGCAGATTTATCTGTAGAGGAAGCTAAAGCACTTCTTATAGCTTTGCTATCGGAGTCACCTCAGGAAACGCCTTTGCTTGACCCGGCCAGCAGGGCACGTCTCCTATCAGCCATGTCACTACGATATGGAATGGAAATCGCCAAGCCTCTCCTTGTAGATGTAATTCCTACAATGCCGTAAGTACTTGACTACTCGGCTTGTGCTTTCTATTGACCGCGCGAATAGGCTGGAGGCTAATGCTACATTGGCTGGCATTCTTATCTCCTTATCACCCGATCTGACCAGTGATATCGACATCATGTGTGCTCTCCTCTCTCGATTTGGAGTTACGGACGCCATGCCGTTAACGGAGGTGCAGCTCATTAAAGTTTTTTCGGACCTGATAAATGCTGCGGCTGATAATCTGTTGAACTTGGACGTTAGCACCTTCATTAGCGCACTCGTTACGCTGGTGAGTCGTCTGCGCGGCTCAATCGTATTATCACGTAACGGTCTATAGTCTGAAAATCTGGATTGGTCAAAAGTTATGCAGTCATTCGATCAGCCGTCTCGTCAATTGGTGGACACAGCAACTCTCAAACTCGTGGTTGCTGTTCTTCTTTCATCACCCAGAAACGTAATGTACCCTGCCGTCAAAGGCTGTTGGGTCATCTGGTCCAACGCCCTGTATCAATTAAGGGTCTTGGATGCCTTGCTCTCACTTCCAGCAGATACTTTTTCCTTTGTTTCGCTTCCGGGCCGCCGTATCATCACGGTGGACGAAATGGCAACTGCTGGTGCAACGATCAAGGCTTTGACCGGAAACATCCAGAATCACACGTGGAATTCCCTTGACCTCGTTCAATTGTTAATCGGTCTGATCGACGTCGACTCGCTGGAGGTTCGTTTGGCGGTTCGAGAGCTGATGGATAAAGCGATCAAAGTTGGTCCGGAGTTGGTGGAAATTGCACTGCTCAAGCTTCCTGTATGGTTGAACTCTTGTGCTTAGTGTGCTAGAAGTCTGACTTGCCTTCTCTCAGAAACCTTGGTCCACCAGTCATGCAGATTACGTCGATAAGTTGTTGGACGTGTTTTTGGCGGGTCATCCCAACCATCAGTTGGTCTTGTGGCGCGTTTTTCAATCGGATGAAGCGTACTTCATGTCATCCTTACGGGATTTCTACCAAAGTACTGAAACGAATGTCACGCGCATTCTTGACATCGCTCAGGACCTCAAGGTAGCCTAGTCTGTGTATTGCTGCAGTATTGTATTGATATCGGTGCAGATTCTGGATAGGCTGCTCGCTGTTCAACCATTCCCATTCGCCTTGGACTTGGCAGCTTTGGCATCACGACGTGAATATCTTAACCTCGAAAAGTGGCTGGCGGATAGCTACGCTGTGCATGGTGATTCTTTTACGCACGCCATCATGGAATTCCTCGATCACAAGGTGAAGAACGATATGTCCAGAGATGCTGGCGCCGAAATGCGTACCTTATCTCTCAATGCACAGACCATTGCGATTTTCATATCTTTTTTGCGCCGAAGGTGATATACAAGTTTCATGCCGCAATCGTATGCGCTAACAACTCTTTGTTAGCGGCGCAAATTGGACGCGTGCCGACATCGAGTACTTCCGGGAAATCCGCAATGCATGTCTACAGTTGCACCCCCGTCTCATGAGCTTGGCACCGGGCTCCGACCAAGAGCCGGGTATGACGGTGGTCAGCTTTTCTCCGGATACCGAGGCGGAAGCGGAAACCATTTTCAAGCGAATGTATGAAGAAGAAATACCAGTGGACCACGTTCTGCACATCCTGCAAGAGTTCAAGAGCTCAACCGCCACTCGTGACCATGAAGTGTTTGCTTGCATGCTACACACCCTATTCGACGAGTACAAATTTTTCCCCGTCTATCCGCCCCGAGAGCTTGCAATCACCGCTGTCCTATTCGGTGCAATCATTGACCAAAATTTGGTCGACCACATACCGCTCGGTATCGCAATCCGCTATGTCCTCGATGCATTGCGTCAACCACCCGACTCAAATATGTTCAAATTTGGCGTTCAGGCCTTGTTGCGCTTCCGATCTCGGTTGGGAGAATGGAAGGAGCTTTGTCATGCTGTTCTGGCTCTGCCCCACCTGCAAGAGCACCGACCTGATATTGCCGAGGTAGCACGACAGGCGCTCTTCCAGACTGATCGGACGAGCAATTTCGATGAAGTTCCCTCATCCGACCTGGAAGGCGTACTTGACGGATCTGAGCTCGCTAACCCGCCATTCCATTCCATCAACCCTGATGCTATATCTGGAGACAGTGGGGCCATTCCCATTGAGGAAACCGCAGATCAAATGCTCTTCATTGTCAATAATCTTGCGATGAGCAATTGCGAAGCCAAATCGAGCGATATGCGTGATATTTTCAAGGACGAGTATTGCCGATGGTTTGCTCATTATTTGGTGAACCAGCGAATAGGCTCAGAACTCAACAACCATCAACTATACATCAAATTCCTTGACCTTCTCGGTAGGTCCTTGCTTCTGAAGCATGTTCTGAACGAAACACTCATCAAAGCACGGACACTTATGAACTCCGAGGCCACCATGCATTCCGCTGCTGAGAGATCTATTCTAAAAAATTTGGGCTCATGGATCGGTATCATGACGCTGGCCAGAGACAGGCCCATCAAACATAGGAATCTTGCACTGAAGAATCTTCTCCTGGAAGGATACGATTCTTCTCGACTCATTGTGGCGATACCATTTGTCTGCAAGATCCTTGAACAATGTGCGAAGTCGACAATATTCCATCTTCCAAACCCCTGGCTTTCTGGACTTGTTCGTTTGCTGGCCGAATTCTATTTTGGAGCAGATCTCATATTGAATCTCAAATTTGAGATTGAAGTCCTGTGCATTGCCCTTGATATTGACTTGGAGAAGGTTGAGCCGACAGATCTGTTGCGACACCGTCCCATTTTGGATCTCGATGCCGGTCCTACCGAGGATTTTGTTGGTGATATCGAGAGTCTTCCTATGGACGGATATGGTGCGCTCGGACCCATGGATACCATTCATCCCACCATACCACATCTCGACGGCGCTCCCGCTCAGACTGCCCTCCAAGCAGAAGGAATTATGTCATCTCTCGAAGGCGCTATCACTCTTAACACACAACTCGGCGGATATGCCGAAAATGAGGGTTTCAAACGACTGGTGCAGGTCGCTATAGAAAGTGCCGTGCGCGAAATCATTATTCCGGTAGTGGACCGATCGGTCACCATCGCGAGTATTTCGACCCAGCAGCTGGTGCTCAAAGATTTTGCCATGGAGGTGGACGAGACTAGAATGCGAACTGCTGCACACCTGACCGTCAGGAACCTTGCTGGGAATCTTGCCTTGGTGACTTGCAAAGAGCCCCTACGGATAAACATGGTCTCGCATCTGCGAAACATACTTTCTGAGCAAGGTATAACCGAGGTGATTTTGTCTTCCCTCATATCAGGACTTCCGTAAACACTGACTATCGCTTTAGCAAATGTTTTCGGAACAAGCGATTCTTCTGCTTGTTCAAGACAATTTGAACTCTGCATGCAATGTCATCGAAAGAGCTGCCATGGACAGGGCAGTGGCTGATGTTGACAAAGCGCTGGAGCCGGCTTACTTGGCTAGATTCCGTCATAGAGAGGTGAGTAGTGACGTCCCTTTGTGCGTATTCTCATTTACGTCTCTGGAAGCAACGACCTGGGCAGCCTTTTTGGTACAGCCCTGATGGTGCCCCCCCTGCTGACTACGTGTTGCACAACAAATGGCCTGATATGCTCCGCCTAAATCCCATTGGCTTGAGTCATGCTCAAATGCGGGTTTATGATGATTTTGGTATGCGACCCAGCTCATGATCTCTTTTGTCTTTTAATGTTTCACAGCGGCTAGTAACCGTCGCCTCCTTTCATCCGTACCAGCAGCGACATATGCAGATCAGTACCAAAATCAACGTGCTTCAGACGAAAGCGAGACTCTGGAGACTAGTGTGGAGACTTCCATGTCATTTGATTCTGCCGCGGAAAAGTTGACTGTTCGTTGTTTTTAACTCGCGCTGCCCCAAGACGTGCTCATCGTCTTTGACTCAGATCCTGTTGGATGATTTAGTACACTTCCTGAGCGAGTCATCAGAAGCAGATATTCGCGAGCTGGGTCCAAGTCATCGGATCACCCTGCTGATCAAGGAGCTGCTCCAGCTCCCCCGCAAAACCGAAGACCAAAACCGCATAGGCATGATGGCTGCTCAGCGCATTGCTGCAGAATTATACAAGGGTGCAGGGGACCTGTCAAGAGAAGTGTATGTTTACCTGCTTCAGCAGTTATGTCATGCACTTCCTGCCGTGCGGAAGGAAGTTGTTGAGTGGCTCGTTTTGTCTGACGACGAAGTGAGTTCGCAAGATAAGCGCGTATCGCAGTACATGACAATTCTGTTTGCAGAGGAAGCTGAACTTGCAAGTGACCATGGCCCTCCTGCGAGTTCGGCTTATAGATCCGCATGATTTGGATGCTGCCATTGGGCGATCCATAGTGCATGAATTCCGGCCTTCTTTCATAGATTTTGCCACTGCCCTTGTTCATGAGACGCTTACTGGTGATCTCGCCGCCGGTTGGCGTCACCAGTTTCCTATCTGCTACGAGGCTTTATTACGCGCCGCAAGCGCAGGTAAGGCAACCGAAACGTGCGCTAGGCTTTGGTGATTGTTGTGTTCAGGCTAACGAAACTCTTCTCCAGTGCTGCTCGTTTGATCAAACAGCTCCAGGGCCCGGAAGACAAAGGCCCTTACAATACACTGGCGTCCTACTTCAAAGGCTGGGTTCGCTCATTCCATCAGTCGACAAACCTAGAACAGAGTTTTATTGACTTCGTTACGCATCCCGAGATGCAAGGGATTCTGCGTGGGGAGGACATTTCATCGCTGTTCTTCCGCGTGTGCGCGGAGGTTAGCGTTGAACGAACTAGTGTCGCGCTCCGGGCGGGACTTGCTGCCAATCCGTATCTTTATGTGGATGCATTGTCGAAGCTTTTGGCAATGATTGTCAAATATCACGGAGAAGCGAACAACGAGCACGCCAAGGCGCATTACCTAACGAAGACTTTGTCCATTGTTGTGTTGGTTCTAGCCCATGTGCACGAAGAAAGCGATGGACAAGCCTTCGAATCTCGACCCTTTTTCCGTCTCTTTTCAAGTTTACTCAACGATCTTCAAGGCATCTATACCAGTGCATCTAATACCCAATTCCAGCTGCTCCTGGCAATGAGGTACGTGACTTCTTTCAGCAGTAGACTATGTTTAACTTGTTTCCAGCGATACTTTCAACACTCTTCAGCCTGCATATTTCCCTGGGTTTGCTTTCGGTTGGATGGCTCTCATTTCACACCGCGCGTTCATGGCGAGAATGCTCCATGCGGAGAACCGAGAGGTTTGCTTACATTAATGTGAAGTTTGACCTCTCACCTGACGTTCTATGACAGGGCTGGGCACCGTTTCATCGACTTCTCATCTCCCTCCTGCGCTTCTTGGGGGGATTTCTCCGCACTGGACGGCTTGATAAAGGCTCGCGTGAATTATACTGGGCCACTTTACGGATCCTGGTAGTTCTGCTTCATGACTTTCCGGAGTTCCTGAGCGAGTATTACTTCACAATATGCGACCATATCCCGACGAATTGCGTTCAGCTGCGCAATATCATCCTGAGCGCATATCCGTCCAACCTTGTTCTTCCAGATCCGCTTGGGCCTCGCACTCTCACAATGGAGCACTTTGGGCCAATCCCTCCCATTTTGTCTGATTTCACCTCGGCTCTGAAAAATGGGGACCTTCGGGGGCCTCTGGATCAATTCTTGTTGAATCGTGGTTCGACATCTTTCCCAAGCACAGTCAAGTCATGGATCATGGCCTCCGTAGGGAATGACCGCTATAACCTGCCTGTGCTTAATGCGCTGGTTATGTATGTCGGTGTTTCTTCGGTGGCTCAAGCCAAGGCGAGAAATGGACAGATGGGATTTATACCGACGGATCCTGGAGTCCAGTTAATGCAGAAGTTGGCAGCCGAGCTAGATGCAGAAGGTAGAGTGTTAGTGCTTACGTATTGTTGTGTCAAGACTGACTTGTAGCTATTTAGGCCAGTATCATTTCCTGACTGCTCTAACTACGCATCTGCGATATCCCAACGCACATACGCATTGGTTTAGCTCTGTTGTACTCCATTTGTTTGCTGAGGTGGAGAGCGATACGTTCCAAGAGATCACAACAAGAGTGTTGCTGGAGAAGTTCTTGGTGCACAAACCTCATCCTTGGGGTGCAATCGCTACTCTCGTAGAGCTCATGCGGTCTCCTCGTTATGACTTCTGGAGACGAGATTTCCTTCGTTCGAAGGAAGCCCTTGAGCTTCAAGGTTTGCTCAGTGGGGTAAGTGTAGTATGCAGGCAGGAGGTTGCGACCGAATCTGACTCATTTATCGCATCTTCCACAGATTCTATCAACTATCTAACGGGTTTCTGTGGCCAATCTGATGTATAACTACTGTCAATGATTATCTGCCACGTCCATCTGACCATTTGTACCTTACGCGCAATATATCTTTTCTTTCCTTTTTTCTTCGATTATTAGCCATGTGACCCCGACATCCCAAGTCTGCTGATTATACATCATCACCGTTGTTGGCGCGCTTTCCTGCTACATTGCACAAAGCCAGGAGATGCTCCATACATGGATATGATCAAACATGCTTTACGAGCTCACATTTCTCCGCATTCTCTTTGGCGTCAGCCGAGGATGCCGCTCATGAGGATAAGACGAGCTTACCCACAATCTTCACAACGAGCTTTGGTCGATTGTTTGGACCAGTGGGGACATTCTCAATTTTCCTGACGGTAAGCATACCGTCCACGACTTTGCCGAATACCACATGCTTTCCGTCAAGAAAATCGGATGGTCCGGTGGTGATGAAGAACTATAAGCCAACCTTCACATCAGTGGATCACATTGAGGAAGCGTCTGGAGGCACCTGGCATCCATTGGTGTTCCCCCCTGAATTGGCCATGGAAAGAAGACCGGGTTGTGTATGTTTAACAACGAAATTCTCGTCCTGCAGTGCATTCAACACTTCTGAAGATACAGCGAACATTTCACTCACGGCAAACTTATCACCGTATATCGAAAAGCTTCCCGTTCCGTCCCCTTTCAGGAAGTCACCTCCTGAGCCATGTACGTTGCGTTAGTCGAGGTCAGGGAATGAATTAGCGACAACCCACCTTGAACCATAAAGTCTCGCACGCTTTTCTTGGATCAGTTCCAGAACAGGGATCGCTGCAATTGTACTAACACTCTAGACGGAATGATGAGCGGGCTGGCAGCACGATGGTACCTCGCCTACCTATGAAATGTCGCACCTTTATATCCTTGAGGGCGATTATTCACGCTATGATACTCATTATCTCACCTAAATAATTCGTGGTAATACGCACCGGTGTTCGCCAGTGCACAGCTGTCGAAAGTTTTCAGCCGTCCTGGTTATTAAATTAAAGTTGAAATAATTCCTCCCAAGAGGCGAATGTAGTTCACCTAGGCACGATATCGTTGAATAGCTCTATTTTGATTCGACCGGCAGGGGTCTCGCCAATTTGGACGTCAAAAAATACGATGGGACGCGCCATTGTCTGCAACCTAGTGGTCAACAATAACGGAAAGATTACGCAGCCCATTCAGGGATCAATGGCCCTCCGGCCCAAAATTCGCCCCGCATCGTGCCGGAGCCGAGTGTGTCGGAGAAGCGAAGTTGGCACATTTGTCCTTAATTCATGTTGCGTTTATTTTCAAATCCGCAAACTTCGGTACTCCGAGAAATTCGAGTTCCGCTCCGGCGCGACGAGGGGGCCATTCAGGCCAATATTTTCCCTGAAGGTATTTTTGACGACTGGAGACCTACTCTCACAGCCACCGTGACTACTAGTACTGTTTGTACTCTGTCAGTTGACATCAAACTTGGTTGACAGTAGATGGCGCCTAAGAGGCCAACACGCAAGACACAGGCATTTCCGGATACTAGCGAGGGAAATGTAGAACAGGTCCGTCCCGGCTCAAGCCGGAGACATTGCTTGACTGGTTGTTCCAGACAGAGGCAGAACGGCTTTCTTTTCTGCACCTGCCTCGGCCGTTCAAGAACCCGCGGTATACGCGTCCGCAATCCAAAAAGCTCAGATCTACGAAGCAGATACTGGCCGCGGAGCGAGAGCGAGAACGGCTGAGGCGCGAGACGGGAACCGCTAACAAGGAGGCTCCTACATGTCAGCTCCTTCCTGTCTTTCTCGAAACCGCAGACTGAAGAGTGTTCCATTCCTGTTAGATATAACTATCGAAGCAGCTCCGTCTCTGCTCCCTCAAAAAAGATACTGTGACATAACTGGTCTGGAGGTGACTAGGGTATCCGGACGTCGAAGTCGTGGGAAATTGACATTACTTATGAGGCACCATACACCGATCCTCAATCGAAGTTACGATACCATAACAAGGCAGTGTACGAATTCATCAAAAGTCTGGTGGGCAACTAGTCGATGAGCAGCAGGACCATACTGATTACAAGCGTAGCCTCCTGGGACTAGTCATGAATGCCTGGCTATTCGTGGCCAACATAGTGTGATTCGATGAGCAACCTTCTGTAATAATAGCAAGTACTAGTACCTCACAGCCAAATAACAACGATTGATATTATCAACCAATGCGGTCATATCCATTAAAACTAGTAGAAAAAAATCGCAGGATATCAACGGCTTGAGAGTTCAACGAAGCAAGGAGTTCAACGCCTTCGACACATCATAACTATATTTCTCCAGTGCCTCCACAGCCTGCGACCGTGTGAAGCCCATCCCACAAAGTTGCTTCACGGCATCAACGTCGTCTGGGAGCGCCGGGGTGGCTACACCCTCAGTTCGCTGCATCTGCGGTGGAGCCAGTTCGGCATGGAATACGGCAGGCATGTTAGGGTTTAAGATGAGACCTCTATTCTTTGATGTTGTTCTTCGTTGGGGAGTTCGAGGTGAAGGCATGTTGGCAGCGAAAATGCTCCTCGTGTTTTCGGTTTTGGGTGGCTGAGCTGGGCCGGACATGAGCGGGACGACGAAAGCATCGTCAAAAGAAAGGGAAGGAGTAGCAGATTCCTGGGTCACGGTAGAGCCATTCTGTCTAACGCTGTGAAACACTGAATCGAATTCCTCGGCATCTGCTAAAACCTTAGCTGCAGAAGGAACAGAGGTCTCTCCGTTTACAGCAGATGCCGTGGCGATGTCTCCGTTAACAGGAGCCTGAGTTAGGGAGGGTTGAGGGGCAGCCACAGCTGCAGGAGAAATCGCAGGTGCCGAGCTTGTACTGTCGAAGGCTGAATCAAATTGGAATGATCCAATAGCATCCTTGCTAGCAGCCATTTGCCCCATGGCCTCGTCGAAATCATCCAACGCTACTGAGTGACCCAACGTTGGCCCAACGACAACATTTGGCACAGTGAATCCGCTTCCGAAGAAATCATCGTCCTTAGCAGGCGCAGACGTTGGTAGTGCTTTGTTTTCTGGGAATTGTGGTACAACAATCTCGGCCGATGAGATATGCGCTGCCACGGAGGTAGTCGTCGAAGGGACAGTTGACTGAGCATCGTCTTGGCTGGTGGTTGCGGGGTGGTCGAGTGTTACAGACTCCGGAACGGAACGCCCAGTTTGTGGAGTGCTTTGAAACTCGTCCTCGCTAGAGTCATCATCAGCGTGCTCGACCTCTCGAAGAGGTGGGAGGTCCTCATCCACCGCATTTAAAGCCGGAAAATGGTTTTCTGCGTCCTGGAGAGCGTCGGATTTCTCCCTTCGCTGGCTGGAAAGGTTCGCTGGCCCAGCTCCTTCTGATTCTGAGGAAGCGGCGACCTCTGTTTGGGCAGCGAAAGCTGCCGGAGAAGAGATATGCAAGTCCACAGTGTTGGGTCCAAAAATGTCATCGAAGGATGCAGGCTGACCAGAAGGCTGCGCGTCTTGACTTTCTAGGCCAAAGGGATCCTCTCCGGGATGCTCCTGAGAAGTCGTGGAAATTGCGGAAGGCATTACCACTTCACCGGAAGTGGGTACCTCATATTTCACACTTTCAGCTGGCATGTCCCTGTCGACATTTAAACCGACAGATTCCGCAGGAATGGAGGTAGCGACAGGTAGAGTGGACACAGCCGATTGGGGAGTATTGCCACCGGAGCTCATTCCGCGCGTCAGCTTGTCAAAGGGGTTGTTGCTTTTCGAGGACGTCACCGAAGGGGTAGCACCTGGCTCCGGCGTTTCTGGCAGAGGAATTGTCATCGGCTTGCTCATGTCTGCAGAGGCCACGGCAATGGCTTGGGGCTGTTCCCCAGAGACAGATTGGCCAGGAATTGATGCTAGGGTGGCTGCAGCCGCAGTTTCAGCTTCTTTCACTTGCTGTTTTGCTTCTTCAAGTTCCCTCTGCACGGCGGCCAACGCGTCGAGAAACTTCGCCTTTTCGGCCTCGGCACTGGCTAACTGTTTCTTGGCGATTGCTACTAGTCCTTTCTGCAGACGAGCATCGTTCTTCGATTTCTCTAGGTCAGATTTCACTTTATCCACATCGTCCCCAATAGCCTTCATCCTTTTTTGCATATCGCGGACATCTTCTTTGTCGCGAAGCAGAGCGGTTTCGATCTCAGTTTTCTCGAGTCGTGTCGCACTGAGGTCACTTTCCGCCCGAATGAGATCTTCCTTGAGTTTGCGAATTTGTTCCACCTGTTCAGCAGCCCGCGTCCTGACGGTTGATAAAAGCTGGGTCTCCGCATCATGGGCAGCGTTTGCAGCTGCGAGCTGAGACTCTAGCTGGGCGATCTGACTCGCATGATCGGCTATCTGCGTCTCTAGCGTGGTTCTCTCCGACTTTGACTTTTCAAGGGAACGCTGGGTAGAAGCGAGCTGGTTCCGCAAAGTGCCAACTTCTGCCGAACGGTCGGATACTGGAGGCACTGGTTCCGCGACATCCTCATCTCCCAATAAATCAGGATGAGTATGCGGGACATCTGGTGTAGGCCCTGGTATCTGGCGTGACCCGGTCGCAACGGGTGGAAATGTAGCCTGATGCACAGGCTGATCGTCAAACAAGGAAAACAGATCATCCACTGGCCGCCCTGGAGCTTGAATAGAAGTTGTTGATCGTTTTGTGGGTGGAATGAGCGAGAGAGGCAATGTCAAAGGAAGATCTTTGCCCGCGAGTTGTCCATTGATCAAATGCATGGCGACAGCAAACCCGTCTCGATCGAGTTGACCCAAATTATCCATGTCGGCAAGATCCCTGAGTTCCCAGGTCAGAACGTTCATGTCTTCAATAGATGAGGCTACGTACCAGATCTGCGCGAGGACACTTTCCGGTAATTTAGATTCCAACATGAAGGGCACAGCGATATCGCCGGTGATGGAGCCTACATTTGCCTTGTCAAGAGATGCAAAGAACCTGTCAGCGCTTGCTTTCTCCACAGGAGTGATGTCCCATGATGTGGTAGAAACAGGTTGCCGTGTCCACGGAGAAGCAATTGACGATCCTGTGGGTACTGCCGTCACACGCGAAATGCTGCCAGTTCTCTGAACAGCAGGAGTCGCAGATGGAAATTGGGACACAAAGCCAGGAGATGAAGCGCCATGGAAGCTGCCGCCCGTTGTATGGGTTGCAATCGGCTGCTGTCCCGTAGGCTGTCGCGATATCGGGGAAACGGGTGATGGTGACGCGACAACTGTGCGACCACCGGATGCCTGTTCATACAGCTCGGCCGGAAGAGTCGCGGGAAGAGTGGGGATCGACTTATTCATAGTCGATTGGATGAAATACATCCCTAGGATGAAGTCTGTGAGGTCCAATGCCCCGCGAGATTGGGTGTCCGCGAGCACCCAAATCTGCCCAAGGGTATCGAATGGCAGCTTGGACTTCAGGAACACATATCTGGCCTTCTCGCCGGATAGTAAGCCGGCCACCGGACCACTCTGAGCAAATATTTTGGTGAATTTGGCACGATCCTCGGCTGTCAGAAGAGGCAATATCGGCGCGTATACAGTGGATGGCCGAACCGGAATGGGTGGCACAGGTCGAGGAGTGGGCGTGGCCGGAACTGGCCGCTGCATCGATGCCGGGGTGCTTGGCTTAGCCGGAAACGGCGTGACCCCTTTGATAGTTGGAGGGGGAGCAGCTGATACGATGTAAATGTCATTGTAGAATTAGCCGGGGAATGCGCACGTTTGTTGACCAGGCTCTCATCCACTTTTTCGCCAAACTGAACATGACTCATCAGTCGGAGCGCGATTCCAAGTCCTTTCCTAGTGAGGAAGCCATTGTTCTCAGAGTCGGCGATCTGCCATATGTCTCCCAGTGTGTCTGCCGGGATGTTTGAGCCGGCAAATAAGTTGACGGCAAGATCTCCGGGCACAATTCCAAGCTTTTGAGGATCGGCAAGTGCAAGTACCTGGTTGGTGAATGCTTGCTCGTCGGCGGAAAAGTTCGGATCTTGGTATAGATCAGTAACGACGGCGAAGAAGTGTAATTGTTAACGTACTCGACATGGTGTTGTGTGGAAGGAGAGGGAGGAAGCTGTGGCGATGATCCCTTGGCCATTGTCCTCCACCACTTATGACGGAACTTACGCATGCTGCTGCGGCGGTGCCTCCGATTTACCTCAGCCTCAGCTTACGCATGTTCCTGAGCACTATTTGACATGATTTAGAAGGTGTAGGGTAAACATAGCATATACGATATAGCTTCATAACTGGAATCGGCAAGACTATCTATTCACCGTGTGTAGAGAAAGGGGGAGAATTATGAGTGCGAATATAGCTTCACGGTCCCATCAGCACCCGCGCTTCCAAGGGTCTGCAACGTCGGATGGAACTGAACGTCGAGAACACCCTCGTCTGCCTTTGTACGATGCTGACTCGATATGTCCTGAATACAAGTCACGCCGTCTCTGAAGGGATCCCAAAGCCGAACAGAGCAGTCATGCGACCCCGTTGCCAGAAGAAATCCTTGGGAGTCAAGAGACAGCGAGGTTACTCCGTCCAGGTGGGCCATTTGAGAATGCGTGCACATTCCTGAGGTACAAGATTAGAGATGTAGATTGCTTAGCAAGGAGCCGCTCACCAGATTTGAGATCGAAGATCCGGATGTACTTGTCTTCATGTGCGGTGACTAACAAAGGCATTGTGGGATGTGAAATGATACAGTTGATTTGGGTCTTGGATGTTCCATCTGTCTCCGAATCAGCATCTGTCAGAGAAGAGTGCCTGTCCCTCACCGTAGGTAGTATCGCTCTTGAGTTGAATGGTTTCCTTTCCAGTCTCCACGTCGTAGAGCTTGACGACCGCATCCTGCCAGGCCACCGCCACCACGTTCGGTTGGGTCCGAATGGACTCCACAGATGTTCCCGCTTTTCGGATGAGGTCCTGCCCTACCCCATTGTAGCCCCACGTCGAACGAAGTTCTCCTCGAGACTCTATATCCCATAGTTTTACAGTCGAGTCTGCGCTCACGCTGACTAGCAACTGACTAGACCCAGAAGACACAGGAACCATGTCGAGGGCCCACACGGCTTCCGAATGACCAACAAGTGTTGCACGATGAGTAAAGGCTGGGTTGAAAGGCGCGTAGGGCATCGAGTGCGCTTTGTCCGGAATCCCCCATATACGAATCGTGGCATCAAGGGATGCAGAGAAAAGGAATTTTTGGCTGGGAACCAAAGACTGTACAAGGGACGTCACAGGCGCCGAGTGTCCTCGATAGGTAACCAACGGTTCGGCCTCAGATGAAAGCCGTGCACTATAAAAATTAAAACCCATTTGAAGAAGACTAGTGTTTTGACTCACTGAGGATTAGTGAGGGAGGATGCGTCAAAGCGCCAGAGCTTGACAGTACAATCATCGCCAGCGGTGGCCAAAGCACAGTCCCGCGGATGCCATGAGATTGCACGCACAGCGTCTAGATGGCTGATGCAACAAATTATAATATGATCGGACGAGGTTGTGAAGCCGCACATGCCTTTTCAGGGTTCTTCTGGTCACCCATACTTTCTTTCCTTCACCGTCCAAGGAGTTATTTTCGTCGCCGACGCTCTCACTATCGGTCATTGTGGTCGCCTCCTCGACTATCTCGCCCGAAGTATCGTCATCCAGTACTGCATGTCCAAATTCTTCGCGACGTGCCCGTTCAACATGCTCTGGAGCCTGACGCAGTCGTTCCGCCCATTCTGCTTCATCTGGTAGCTTTCTTCCTTCATGTGCTTCTTGTCCCGAGGTCGCCGATAAGTGAGCTTCTGTTGAGCTCAGTGCTTTGCTAGGGACGGATCGAGAAGGCTGCCCATGTTCAGTCCCAGATCCGGGCCCTGCTAACCCTGACATTGGGGGCTGGGGTTGCTCATCAGAAGCGAGGGATTGAGGAGCATGTGGGGTAGGGATGAGATCAGAAGCGGGTGGCAACGCCGCTGGGGTGGCTTCCGGGACAACAGAACCTGCTGCAAAAGGGCCAGCCACTTCGGGAGTGAGGCCGCTATCACTGGGAGGGGACACTAGATCTGATGCAGAAGCCTCCTGTGTCTTTATAACATCGTCTGAAATTTCTTGCACTTGAGCTTTGCCAGCGCCGAGAGAGTCCAACAGAGGCATGACCTCTTCAGCAGTGGGGCCAGCAGAGGGTGGGGGGAGCAGACCATTAGGGAGCTCGGGCAGTCGAGGGGGCTCTGGTCTTGTCGACGAAGTGTTTGCAGCGGGTACAGCAGAATAAGCCGAGATTGACCCCATCACAGACGCCTGTGGGATAGCTGGGGGAACATTTTGGCCAATGAGGCTTCGTCTTGGTCTGCCGAGCGCCGGATCGACAGGCGGAGCCTGGGAGAGGGGGGGAGGAATTGCGGCTGGTACCAGTGCGCGATTCGGTAAAGGATTGAGGGCAGCTGAGGACGTGAGATAATTCACTTCTTGCAAGCAGGCTTTCAAATACTCGCGAGATCGAGCACGAGACTTGGGATCCTTGCCCGGCGGTGGCCCGCCGAGGTTGCCGAGATTCAGATTTGCCAGACTTGGCTTGCTGAACTGAGCCGTCGAGAATATCTTAGAATCGCTCAAATTCTTTGGTGGGGAGGGCTCAGATGATGCAGACTTTGCCCCGGGATCGATTGGACCATTAGGCAGGGCGTCAGGCTCGGACCGAGGAGATGGCGGGGCTGAGGCAGGTGCTGCTTCCGAGGACGACGATGCAGAGTCCGTCGCTGGGTCAGATGTTCGAAGAGACGCCAACTTATTAGCAGGTATGGCGGATACTGAGGACGCTTGCTTGGACCTGGACCGTGGGTAAGTGCCAGTTCAAGCAAACGTATATGCGCACCTTTCGGATTTGAGCGCATACTCCAGCATCTTGATCCTTCTGACAAGGTCCAGTTTTACATTGTCAAAAGACCTTCGCTCTCCTTCCAGGAGCGCTACACGGGCTCTGAGCTCCGCCCGCTCGATCTCCCACTCGTTGCGGTCGCGCTCATATCGGCGCCATTCGGATTGAAGGAAATGGAGCACACCGGCGAGAGTGAGATCCGCCGGCGGAGTGATATCTGGCTTGGGTGGAGCTGGTGGTACCGGGATGTTCTGAGAAGGGTTTCCAACCCCAATACCTCCCTGCTGTCCATTACCTATGGGACCGGTGAGCTGTTGTTGCTGGTTGGCGACATTTTGACCGTTGCTTGAGGTAAGAGCAGGTGAAGGTCCCTGATTGGGTTGAGGTTGCATGTGTTGATCGAGAAAACGCGCTGTTAACATGGTAGCAGGACCATTCACGCTCCTGGGAACGCCGTCAAAGAAAGGAATAAGTTGAGGAGGGCGGCGGGGGGGTGAGAAGGGTGTTAGGCAAAGTACAGGGTGCGCTTGAACTGTCGTCGTATAATTCCAGACACACGATCCTCACGTGCAGAAGGAAACGGAAGCAAAGGAGGCATTGATGCCGTATGGACGGACACACCGAAAAGGAGAGAAGGACGACTGACCGCTTTGCATTGTCTAGTTGTCCCCATTCTCCTCAACATCCTGTACAACGACGACCGCCATCTCTTTTCATCTCACCTCACTACCACCACTCCCGCCCACATCAGCGACGACTCGACTTTCTCCAGATAACCTCGAATCACACCGCTTTTTGTCATTCTTGCCCTTGACTCTTCTCTTCCGTTGCCCCTCTTTTCTCACCCTCATACATACCTTCATCCTGCTGCCTGATCCCTAACATGGCCTCTCCACCATCGCTCGCCAAGCTGAGCATCTCCGACAGTCCCTCTCCACCCCTAGGGGTTCAGTATCGTCGGGAAGACGTGATGGGTGGCTTTGGAATTCCAACACCCCCTCCCCAACAGCCCATCATGAATGCCTATGGTTATCCCCAATCAGCAGCCACTACCTCACCCTTCTCCGTCCTGCCGAATGTGGCGTACAGTGCACCTTATTCGCCGCACAAAAAGCAAGTTCCTCGTGCAGCCTTGCCTGCTCAATGGCTCGAATCCGACAATCGTGGTGAGAGCCGGTCTCTGTCCCCCCCGAATTCGCTTCCCTCCTCCGGTTCGGCGGCTGCTTTGGGCGCCGCTGATTTCGATCTTTCCAGTAATGGTGGATCTCCACCACGCATGAATGGCGTGTCTCAGCCCGGAATGCCTCCAACGCCCATGGTACAAACACCGAATGGTATTCTAGCCAATGGAGATGAAGACATCATTCCAACGGCCATCGTCATCAAGAACATTCCTTTTAACGTAAAGCGTGAGACTCTACTTGATATCATCGTACGTGATGTCGTCGTCTGCCTTTGTTCAATACCTGAAGTCATTTCCAGGCGTCGCTCAATATCCCGACACCGTACGCTTTCAACTACCATCTTGATGCTCTCGGGGCATTTCGAGGGCTCGCCTTTGCAAACTTTCGGCAGGCTGCCGACGCTGATGCTGTTGTCGCTGCCCTCAACGGATTTGATGTCCAAGGGAGAAAGCTGCGCGTCGAGTACAAGAAAGTGCTGCAGGCTGGCGAGAAAGAGCGCATCGAACGCGAGAAGGCGTTGCGTCGCATGCGCAGCATGGGATTCGATAGACCAAGCCCCCAGTCGGCCATTCCACCAATGCCTACCGGAGTTAGTCCTGTCTCGCCATGGGGTAGCCCCGATGGTGCCGATCTTCTTGGAAATATGTCCGGGGCTCCTGCTCCTGTCAGTCTGATGGGCGGCCTCGGAAACGGTGTCTACACGCCTCAGGTGAGCTTACCGCAGCTGCAGCTCCCAACGAATACCGTGCACAGCAGCGGTATCATGTCGTCCGTCAGTCCCCCACCGGTTTCTTCTGCTACTTCCAACAAAAACGGTGAGGGAGCCGGGCCAGCATCATTTTGATTTTCGTCTAATTCATTTCCCTAGAGATTGATATGAATGACCCTACGACCCTCGACATCTACTCGCGTATCCTGCTGTTCAAAGATGACCGGATGCGGGATGAGCTGGCCTTCTCTCGCACACTCACCCCCAAACAGCGTCGCACTGTGCATCTCATTGCCCAGAAGCTCGGAGTATACCACTATTCCGTCGGAGAAGGCGACGATAGATATGCTGTAGTAACGCGCGAACCCCCGGAAGGCCGCACGCCGGTCCGACACTCAGCAACTCTTTCCCGTGCAACGTCTCAGAATCTTCTTTCCCCTGGAGATTCGACTACTCCGACGATGGCCTCCCTCCGTCTGAAAAAGTCGATGCCGACGTTGCGATCGTCTACCCTGAGCAGTTCGCCCTTTGCACCTTCTTTTCTGGCCGCACCTGGTCTATCCGCGTCTGCTACGCCAACGTTATCTATGAGGCGCAGTAACTCTAACCTTCACGCTGCCCACAATAATTCTCAAGCCGGCCATTTTGCGACCATTTCAACGTCGACTCCTCCACGCACCCGCGGATCAGACATTGGCGCTCTGTTCGGAAATCCGATTCTGCCTCCCGTACCTGTACCTCCCGTTCCTGCCCTCCCCACAGGTCTGGGTGGCGGGAATGATGTGCTGGGGACCAACCCATCGTCGATCAGCACGGCTTCATCTAGCAACGGCGCTTCCAGTGTTGTACGACAACCTCGTGGGCCGTCCGCAGCGGGAGGAAGTGGATTTCTGGGACGGAGCCGAGGTGCTGCAGATAACTCTCAGTCTCAAAACAACATCGGAAGCATGAACGGTGGACTGGAGGCGACCACTCACCAGCCCCTCGAGATCTGAAGACAACATCACCTGAACGTGTGCACGGATCCTGTACCCTTCTTGCACATACTCTCAAGCAGTGTCGGTCGCATTCATTAAAGTCACCTATCCCCGTTGCTCCCAACTGTACATTTGGATCTCTTTATAAGTCTCCCATGGTGTTGCACCCTTGATACCCGGTCAAAATTCGAACAACCTCTGATGAAGAAACGATCCCGAATGAGACATGACATGCATGCCACATCTGTTCCAAACTCCTTTCGTGTCCCAAAATAATGCTCAACCAGCCATGCTTCCTCACCATCCAACACTCAGCTAACTGTAACAAGAACAGCTCGTGGTTATCGTTCAGATTTTCGGCCAAAGTTCAGTTGAAATGGAACGACATATGAACGCGTTCTTGCTCCACCACCTTCTTTGTTCTCTCGTTTTTATGCTGTCACATCTTGCCCCAAGTTCTCCGATCTTGTGGTTGTATACCCTCAGTTTCTTGAAACTTCTGTCAGTCACCTCACTTGAGTAGTAGTGAAGCTTTAAAACCAGTTGCATATCATTTTGCTGTAGTTCATCTGGTGTCGTTTCGATGACATGACACATTGCAATTGGTGAACGTTCTCCCATCTGAAAGTGAGCAGGGCACGGCATGTCTATGTCATTGAACAAGCCAATGACAGAGACCACGGGACAAAGTCGGCCCGCCGGGGTCACACTCCGGTCAACTCTCCCAAGGGTCCGCTGTTGTCCTTCCTACTGGGGCAAAACATTGCCTTCGCAGCTTCGTGGAAGAGGAACTTCAGTGTGTCCAAGTTGAGCAACTTGTTACTTCGAATCCGACAACCCATGAGCCTGGCAGCCCCATGACCCACTCGTGGCTTCTTGAACAAGGACATTGGGGATATATACGTGTCGGGTGGGACGCCGTCTCCTGTGCGTTTCTCTTTCCTTGGACTTTGTCACCCCTTTACCAAGTGGTTCGCTTGAAGCAGCAAGCATGACGTCGGGGAAAGTTAACGCCGCGTGCAAGGCAATGTCCGCTTTTGCTCTCCTAGCGCTGAGCACAACTTGCGCGGCGTGGACTATCCCTCCGCAATCAGTTGTGAGTTTCTAAACATGTCACTACCAACAGCTAAAACGACTGCCAGTACATTGATCAAACACAATACAATGTCTTGGGAACAAACTCCTCGCTCTTTCGCGCATCGACGGGCTACTTCAATCCCCAAAACTTGACACCCCCATTCTTCCAAATCTTCGATGAAGGATTCTTCACCATCTTGGGCGACTCGCCTTCCATTCGGCTTATTACGGAGAACGATAGCTATGCATTTGCACACGAGGCCCCTGTTTATCTTCCAGAGAAGAATGAGCTTTGGTTCAGCAGCAATGATGGCGGTCCTCTTGGTATGAGCGACTGGTACACAGATAATAAGATCTGGAAGATCAATCTTGATGAAGCCGAAGCCGGCAACGCGACACTTTACGAGGTATGTGAGTATCACTTCTCGTATGAAGAGAAGCTAAGCGTCTTCGTCGACAATCCACAGGTGCCCATCACACCACCTCTAGAGATGACGAATGGTGGCACTCTTTATGCAAATGGACAGCCTCTCTTCATCCAATCTGGGCGGGCGGAATTGCCACCAACGCTTGCGATCGTGAATCCGTCTCCGCCGTATAATTCGACGGTTATTCTTGATAATTTTTATGGACGTCAGTTCAATTCTTTGAACGATGTGAAGATCCACCCTGTCAGTAAGGCCATTTTCTTCACGGATGTCACGTGAGTTTGTTCCATCATCTATCCTTGCAGACAAGCTCACGACACCGGTAGATATGGTTGGCTGAACCACTTCCGACCCATGCCTTTACTGCCAAATCAGGTCTACCGTCTTGACCCTATTTCTGGAGCTGTGCGGGTTGTTGCAGATGGGTTTGATCGGTGCAATGGGATCGCCTTCTCGATTGACGGGTCCCTGGCTTATATGTATGTTGCGCGTCGCTGCCCACGTCCCATGCGACTGCTGATTCAGTTGGAACAGCGCTGATACTGGTGCATCTGGCGGTTTCCTCGGCAATAATGCGACCGAGACGGCCACGCTGTAAGATGCCTCTGGCGTCACCTTGCATATGGACTAATGGGTTCTAGCTATGAGTTTGATGTAGATCCCACGACGCAGCGCTTCTTGAATCGTCGCATTTTTGCTTACATTGATACCGGTGTGCCTGACGGTATTCAGCTGGATGCCTGTGGAAATGTGTACACGGGAACAGGAGATGGCGTGCAGGTGCGTAGACCCCATACCAAGTAATGTTCAGCTGCTGAATGAGAGTCAGATTTGGAGTGCTGCTGGTGTGTTACTTGGAAAGATCTTCACCGCCTCTACCGTGGCGGAAATGATATTTGTCGGAAACGGAAGGATGGTGGTCCTGGATGAGACGAAGTTGTACCTTGTCCACTTTGCGGCGCAGGAGCACTCACTTGACTACTGGAGCTGAAACAATGATGGTATGGATGTCGCTGAGGTGCATTTTTTGGATAAATGTAAAGAAAACGATGGTGTATGTAACGGTACCCGTTAGGATACCTGCTGAAATAACTGTTTTGTCGCAACGCAGTATTGGTACCCACAGGCTATTATTTGGTCGCAAACCACGTGAACAAACGAAGACCCGACAGGCGTATCTTCTGGCAATCTGCTGGGGTCCGCTGTGTGGCACAAGTTTGTCCCTCTCGTGTATCTAACTACGCGGTCGCATTGATTGAGCTTCTTGAAAATGGCTTGCGGTCGGCACAATGCGTCCTGGCGCCATGGCTGCCGTGAGATTGTTTAGGCAACTTTCCACAGCTACATCCTCCCTTCCGGCAGGTTTTCCTGGGAATGCGCCGCCATCTAACATGCCTTACGACTGTTACATCCACTCCCTACTGAGGCATGACCGCACCCCTTAACGCTTCTTCGATGTCAAGAGTTCCCCGGTTTAGTGAAGGAAAACTTTCTCTATTATCGCTGGCAGCCATGAGTTCAGTTGCGGTAGGATTGAAACTGTCTGGGAAATTTTTGGACTCTGGCACGGGCTGGGCCTATATAGGTTCTCTGACACCATACTATATATCGTCCTCCAGTTAAAGTCCTTGGAATCGCTGTTCATTGATTTGATCGTCTGGAAATATGACCCTCGGCAACGTAATTCATCGTGTTTGCAAAGCACTCCCCGCTTTTGTCTGCATTTTGCTAGCTTTTCACGTATCGTGTCAGGCGCAGATAATCCCTCCACAATCAGTGGTAAGACAGTTCTTACTAAGACCTATGAACACTTACAGATGACCTTTTTGCTAGTATATCGATCAAACACGATACAATGTCTTGGGAACAAACTCCTCGCTCTTTCGTGGGCCGACAGGCTACTTCAATCCCCAAAACTTGACACCCCCTTTCTTCCAAATCTTCGATGAAGGATTCTTCACCATCTTGGGCGACTCGCCTTCCATTCGGCTTATTACGGAGAACGATAGCTATGCATTTGCACACGAGGCCCCTGTCTATCTTCCAGAGAAGAATGAGCTTTGGTTCAGCAGTAACGATGGCGGTCCTCTTGGTATGAGTAATCGATTTACAGATAACAAGATCTGGAAGATCAATCTTGATGAGGCCGAAGCAGGGAACGCAACACTTTACGAGGTATGCGAGCATGACTTCTCGTATGGAGATATGCTAAGCGTCTTCGTCGACAACCCACAGGTGCCCATCACACCACCTCTAGAGATGACGAATGGTGGCACTCTTTATGCAAATGGACAGCCTCTCTTCATCCAATCTGGGCGGGCGGAATTGCCACCAACGCTTGCGATCGTGAATCCGTCTCCGCCGTACAATTCGACGGTTATTCTTGATAATTTTTATGGACGTCAATTCAATTCTTTGAACGATGTGAAGGTCCACCCTGTCAGCAAGGCCATTTTCTTCACGGATGTCACGTAAGTGTGTTTAATGGAGCTTCATCGCATAATTCTGCTTATATAATGTGATAGATATGGGTGGTTGCTATATTTCCGGCCAATGCCTGCCCTGCCAAATCAAGTTTATCGCTTTGACCCAGCTTCCGGGGCCGTGCGTGTTGTTGCAGATGGATTCGACCGGTGCAATGGGATTGCCTTCTCGACTGACGGATCTCGAGCCTATGTGTAAGTGTGATGGTACTTAGCAGCTCGAACAATGCAATTGATCGATATCGGACAGTTCTGATACGGGCGAAAATGGTGGATATCTCGGCACTAATGGCACGGAGCCGGCTACCATGTGAGCTGCTTGTTCGTTGATGAGAGCAGGCACTGAATCGCACGGTAGCTATGAGTTTGACGTAGATCCTTTGACGCAACGCTTTTTGAATCGACGTGTTTTTGCATATGCAGACACAGGTATACCGGACGGCATCCAGCTTGATGCTCTCGGAAACATTTACAGCGGAACAGGAGATGGAGTGCAGGTGAGTTGTTTGCCTGCTTTTTTGGGTCTCTATGCAAATTCCATTTAGATTTGGAACCCTGCCGGAGTGCTGCTTGGAAGATCTTCCTTGGATCCACTGTTGCCGAGATGATATTTGTGGGGAATGGGAAGATGGTGGTTTTGGATGAGACGAAGCTGTACCTTGTGCACTTTGCAGCACAAGAGCATTCACTTGACTACTGGAGCTGAAATTTGGCAGAATGCAGGATGATGGTTTCTTAGACAGATAGATACCGAGAACGATCTGAGCACAACATCATCTGGTGTCGACGTGGCTGCCCAAAGCAATCACACTAGACCGTAAAATCGAAGGTGGTGGTTGCAGTTCAAGAGTGTGAAGGTCGGTGATTCGTTTTTAAGGTGTTCAGACAATTATTCGGCGGGGAGGTTGCTACACAAGGATTTTATTTCCATCACTAAATTGAACGAAGAGTCTTTATCAATTGGATGGTGAAGGGAATCTGCCCTTTGGCGAGCAGATGATTTCTGATCGGTGGTTTTCACGTGAAAGGGACCTACCCAGTTTATTGTCAACTCCCGTCGTTAGTTACACATCTTTAAACACCACTATCATCACCAAGCGGAGGCACAGCTCTCCACAATAGTCACAAATGCCACGCTCGTAATCTCCAAATTAGCTGAGACTGCGTGCTGCACACGATGCACTGGCGTGGCCCGATGGGTGGGCCAATATGGAATTATTGTCCTGGCCTGTGTTTGCGCAGAGTATGGCACATTAACGACATCAGGCCATGGTGAGTACTTATGTGCCCCCCCTCGACCTGGCTCAACTTCTCTCCCTAAGCTCATCATCATCCCCTGCAGCGACCTTTCTCCTGACGACTGGTTCGTCCTTTGCCGTATTCCCCACCCTCATCCCGGACGCTGGCCAGTCCACGCGACGCTAGCCCAAGCCAACCTCAACTGGAGCCCCCAAGCCCAACACTTTACCTTCACTGGATATAATCGAGCACACCGACCAACACTTTTTTTTCTAACTAAAGGGCGGTGGAAATATGCATTTGTTTCTCATCGCACGTTACATCTCCTTTGGTGAAACTCATTCATGTGACTCCTTGCTTCCTCTCACTGACAGTACCTTAGCATGCATCATCCTTATTCAGTTGTCGATCATAATCTTTGGTGCATGGTCGTTCACTGGATTGTCAATTAGTGAGGGAGATTTAGGAATCGTGGAGCCGTTTCTCGTAGTTGTTGGAGGTGTGACGGTTTTCTTTGTTCCACCTATGTGAGTCTTTCCAACCACCGACTAGGATCACACTGATGAGACAAAGCTTGCTCGCGGATCTTTCCCGTCACTCCGTGCTCCCAAGACAAGCTTGGTTTGAAATAGCTTGGATCGGAACACTCTGGGCCCTCGACCTCGGTTCGTCGTACAGTCCTCCATGTACTGGAATATGCCTTGATAACACACAGCTGGTGGCATCAAGCTCGCTCAAGATGGTGATTATTTTGGATGCCATCCAACCCCACTGGTTCCCGAGGTCACGTTTCAAGGATGCACTGCGCCGAAGGTTCTCCTCGGACTGGTATGGGGAGTGGATTTCCTAGGTACGCACCTACTTAGTCGTTCCTTCTAGCGGATACCCTTAACCATCCCATTGTAGTCCTCTTCCACCTCGCTTCCATTGTGATTCTTACTGTTCGAACACCACGCTCAGCAGAGTATCCCCACCCGCTTCTGCTCCCGATAATTCATAATCCGATGCTTCAACCCACAATGCCATCGTTCAGTCCTGTGGTACCGCCGCTCCCTCAGAACCCATCAGATTCGATCAAGACCCAAAGAAAACTTGTGCGACGACGTGCATCCGAACAGCTCACTCTCAATGACGGTGATCTGGATATTGGTTTCTGGGGCAACGACACCGCGGATTCTGACGAAAGCGTTGGACCAAGCATGAAAGAGCTCATCGCTGAGGAGGCATTGGGGTTGAAGAACATATCTTCGAGGAGAAGTGCGATTTCTTTGCCCTCTTATGCCTTTGCCAACGGTTCAGCACTCCCACATCTGCCTTCTGGAATCCGAGCTTCGGCGACACCGGTTCCTGTGAAGCAACGGCAGGTCCCCATGTCCGATCTCCTTTCCCCGCCGAATGTCAACACGAACATCGTGATTCCTCGGGGGGCCTCGTTGCAACAGCCCCAGACCAAGGAATTGAACCCCACACAGCCTCGGCATATGCATCCTCAGCCCTATCACGCTCAGGCTCGAAGGACTAGAACGTCCAGTCTTCCACAGAACGCTGCACTCCCTTCCGCTCTCGGCGCATCGTCTACACAGTTCTATGGTGAGATCATGGCAGTGTCGGGACATGCGACTCGCGGTAATTCTCGCTATGCCCAAGAGCCTGCTATCAATCCTCACACGCCGAAGGTGACCAATACACCGTTTGCCGTGCACTCCACACACCAATACTGCGCTCCTGTGGTCGGAATCGCTGAGGGACCCTTAGTCCATAATGCCACCAATCCGTTAAATGGAAGTCCTGCATCGTTTTCGGGTAGGCCTCGCCGCAGCTCGCAGTCAAGAGGCAGACGTCCATCTCGACCGCCGCCACCAGCTACGTTTCCAACTGATATCAGGCAAACTGTGCACATCTCCGCACCGCTGACCAGTATGCCTGTATTCCCTGAAGACGCCGCCCGAAGGATGTCTCACCGTTCTTCCCATGTGCTGAGGCGACTCACAATCCCTGCTCCCTTAGGCGTGACTGCTGCTGCTCCTGTATGGCCGACATACGGTGCCAGCAGGTCTGTCTCTGGCGTGTCATATCCAGAACCGGCAGTCATTATGGCCCATCGGAAGACGGAAAGTGGTGAGGAAGACGATCGACGAGAGTTGCTTAATGCACGCAAAGGGTATACCGGACCATCGGTCATCCTAGGCATTGCCAATCCGTCCCCATCTCCTCCCCCTGGTCCGCCCACGCCATCCCTCTACGCACCGTCGCCTGAGCCAGGCCATCCTTTGAAGCAGCGTGTGGAGCAAGACGCGGCGCCAATGTACAATTATGAGAATTGTATCCTTCCAGGCAAGAATCCTAATCGAACTGGTGCTGAACTGTATGCTCATTACATGGGAGAGCATTACCGGTGCGCTGTATAACAGAGGATCTGAGAGTGACCCCTGCGCTTGTATCGATAATCTGACGAGCATCATGATTAATGTATATATGGTCTAGTATATAGAATACGATAAAATGAATCACCAGACATGGTATCCATGGTTGGATGTCTAGTGTGGCCAATGCCGGGTCATCTGGCCTTGAAGTCGGACTGGCCTGACTGACGAAATGATTCTTGATTGTCAGTAGTGGTCAAATGCCCTTCAAACCACCTCCGGGGTATGTGGTCAGTGGTGCTACATAAGCCACACAAATCTCATAGTGGTTTCTCTACTCCCGTGGCAGAGACAATGGTAACCAAGTCTAATGTGGTGTAAACATGGGTAGGAGAACAGGAACTCTCAGGACAGAATAACCATGGCCATCAAGGAGCACAATGAACCACCGTCCGGAGCACATAAATAGTCCGTTTTCCACGTTCCCGTCTCTCAAACTTTCAGGTCTGCTCCGCAATCTGCTATACACACGATCTATCCTACGCATCGGTTTTTATATGTTATGCAGGTCCATACATATACCGCAGTTCTGAAGGATGCAGCACAAAATGAGCTGCTCGAATATCTATGTATTGAAGATGGAAACAATAGAACTTGTTGGGTGGAAAGTTTGGTTGGGGAAGTGAGTTCATTTTCTCGACTTGACAGGGGGTGAATAGGCTCTTACGGGCATAGACGTTTTCCTTCCAATTCAACCAGTTCATTGGTCCAGACCAGTATGAGCAGCTGAGGATTGTCGTCCTGGCCGATGGCGTGGAACTTGGTCAGTGCTTTGTGGAGGGGAACATGCCCGATATCCTCATGCGGGATATCAAATATGCCGACGGATTTCACCCACTGGTCTTTTCCTATGGATTTAAACCGATTGAAGGCGGGCTGGTCGAGCTTCTCCGTCCAGATTCATGCTGACATGAGGGCCAGACTACGATGAAGAAGACCGAGACGAGGACAATGCGCTGCATTGGAAAAGTAGGGGCACCTTGCAGATGAACATCTACAAGGTGATCCTCTTTTACTCGGACGAGACTGTGAAACCAGGTCCCGCGCCATGCGGACTTCACTCTGTTCAGTACGCTGGTCCAAAAAGGTGAAATGATTTGCGTTTTGACAATTTTCTTAGTTTGGGGGAGGCAGTTGTGGATGACATGAGAATCAATGTCATGGAGGATGTTGCTGCCTTCCATTATGATCCGCATATTGGTGATAAACCATCCGCAACATTCATATGGAAGCACCGGCCGAGAGGTGAGGCAACGTACAGGACACGGCCTAGTCGGGGGCTGACCAATAGTTTTCTAGAATGGCTGGAAAACCACAGGTTTATCGGTGCGCGCTGATTCCCTTTGCACATGAGGGATTCATGAGCTGAATTTTGGACGCATAGAACGGAAGAACGACGACTTTGCCCTTGACCTGTCGGGAATGTCTATCGCAGAGTCGAACACAATCGTGGGAGAGCTCCGAGCGCTGTCTATCCAAGACCAGGGCGTGATCACTTCAGACGAAGCAACACTTCCGTCATCTTGTAATTCGCAGCAGACTCAACTTCAGCTCGTCAACTGGCCATGGGAGACGCGTACATTTCAAGCATCCTTTGACCTGCAAGAACAGAATGCGATGCATTCCGGACCAGTCGAAACCTGGCTTCCCCAATACGTGCAGCATAACTCCTGGTCAGCTGGAAGAGGCGACAACGATCCAGAAGGCAGCCAGACTGCAACCAACGCGAGTGGGCTTTAAGCCATTCCTGATGCACCCGCATCACCTCAGGGGGAGATGCTCAGGACGCAGGAGCCATGTCTATCCCGGACGCGAGTATTAGTGGTTTAAGCAGCGAAGTCTTACATGTATCAGGGCCAAGTTTCACGATAAGCTTATCATAATAGCACTGCCACAGTTCCTGCTTCTCCATTGAGTCGGGCCGAGCCCACAGACCCTATGCTTGCTTTTGACTTCCACCACGCGCCGTCTATGTCACTAACGCCCTCCTAACGCACCCCTAAGGCCAAAAGGAGACTCGGTGTGTGTACACTTCTGCTTCTTACCAACCACCTTCTCTCCGCTCTTAAATCGTTCCAAACCGCCGGGGCACGAGAACAGTCCAATACTCGTGGAGATCTGTCACAAACCTATCGCTTACGCGTCCTCTCTGTCTAACGTGTACTTAAGCGCTCTCGCCACATATCTCGCGGGCAGGGCATTCAACTGTCTCCGTGGGTGCCAGTATTCGCCACATACCGATTTACGGAATCGGGTTTGTGACTCTGAGCCATCAGCCACCAACGTTCGTTCATATATAAGGGCGTTTCTACCCCCATCGTTCTTCCCAACCTACTGAAACTGCTATACCTCAATATCGACCCCCATGCCTGTTCCTGCCATCCAAGGCTTCAAGCAAGAGCACTCCTTTGGTGCGCCCCCTTTTTAATCGCTTTCCATTCCGCCACTGACTTTTCCACAGGCAGTCGCCAGAAGGAGTCTGCGAGACTGCGTGCACAATATCCAGACCGCATCCCTATCATCGTCGAGCGTGCGGAAGGGAGCAACGCGCCGCCGTTGGACCGTACGCGCTTCTTAGTTCCATCTGTATGCATCCTTTGCCCTCTCTCCCACTCCCATGACTAACCACCTTTTACAGGACCTCTCTGTCGGCCAGTTTCATTACATCATCCGCAAACGCATCAAGCTACGTCCGGAGGACGCCATCTTCCTCTTCGTGCAGGAAGCTACCATGCCTCCGACAGCGACACTGATGAGTGCCATGTATGAACAGTATCAGGACGAGGATGGGTTCCTATATGTAAAGTACGCGGGAGAGAACACTTTCGGTGGAACATTGTCCTGAGATTTTCGGCGGTTCCTGGGAGCATCGAGTCACGGTGGTTCCCGAGTTTATGTCTCACGTCATGTTTCTCATGTCGCTCTCCGTGTATCATACCCACTAGACGATTTCCTTGGTCATGTCACATACTACCTCTAATCCATGTCCTTACTATAAGAATTCCTGTCGATCCGTTAACTCCCACTTTCGTAAGTTGCCAGGTTGGGAACACCACAAACCCATGTTCGGGTTATGTGCTGTTATTCCCGCACAGCAGTACAATAGTCTCTTTCCTGCATCTTCGTGAAACATACTGAACCAGCAAGAAATGAGCATGATAGGAAATCAAATCCGGAAGGGCAGGTCTCAATCGATATTGTAGGTGACAAGATGTGACATGAAAACAAACACATTACAAGTTAATAGAGAGTGAACCATGCACTGGCAGGGGATTTCAGGACTTTGAGAGTCGAGCCGAGGGTTTCATCAGGCTCAGGCTCATATGGCAACTGCGGATACTCAACCTTTTCTTGAACGTGCTCTATGCTGAGGAGGTGTGTCACTGGAGGAGACACCGGACAGGCGCGAAGCCGTGTTTCTGAAGATAGTCGCGACAGTAGGACCGAGAATCCCCCAAGACCCAGATAGTGCATAAATAACTCTGGTCAGATCCAAGAAGCAGGAAAGAAGCAGTGATAGGCAGTGGCCTCCGGTCCGTCATCGACCAGTTGAGTGAGGGTCATGGGTATATGGGAAAAGCGGGAGCTTGTGCTCAAGAAGATGGGGTGGTGTTCGCCTCAGGAACGTCGTTTGGCTGGCTCTTCACTCATCGCTGGGACAACACGCTGGGACAGCACGTTGCCTACAACGACGATTGAGTCAAACCAAGTGAATCCCTAGAATGCGTCATCATCATCTGGCCTAGCAGTAACAACGCAACGTCGGTGTATGTGTAAAGTTGAAAACCTGCCAAGCACGAGCACAATTCCTTATGTAATGCCGGGCCGAGTGCCTCACCCTATTTGAGCCAAATGCCGCACTGTATCAACACGTGTCTGCCTCGTGTACCTTTTATTGTTTGGTACTTCCCCGGGTAATGACACCGCACCCAGGGTTACTTATCACACACAGACGTACAACCCAACAGCCTGGCAGGCGCGCACCACGGTTATGGAATAGGGGAAGCACCTATACGGGACACGAGGCAGCCGTGCGGGTGACGAGTGACAGCCATGTGAGGGCCTGACGAGAGGCGACCTGTCCGACTATAAGAATGTGCTGTTATACGCGCGGCTAGGGGGTCATTCTCGCACTGAAGGTGACAGCGTACCCTGCTCGCTCACACTGGAGACGTCGGAATCGGCACCGTCTCTCCTGCTTCTCTCTTAACTCTCTCTCGTGGACATACAATGGCAACGCTCAATGTAAGACCGCAACGTGCACCGCTGAAGGAGAGCAAGACCGCCCCCGGTGCGTACCTTCTGCTCCTGCTCGAAGCTTCCTAATCTACTCCAAGCTGGTCTTCTCCCTCAATTCACGAAACCTCTTGATCTGCATCCTGCCCGCTCTAGGCTCTTATCACAGCAGGAACCGATCAGTTACCCAGTATTGAGACCGCATGTCTCAACACAGGCGCTTCAGGGATTCCATCACCAGCAGCAGCAACAGCAGCAGTCTACGTCACATTCCCAGCAGCAGCAGCAGCAGCAACAACAACAACAACAACAAGACTCGCCTGTCTCACTCACCACTGCAGGGCCGATCACTCCCCCCGCAGGGTTGACGCTGAGCGGTTCGAACCCCTTCAGCACCTCCCCGACCCTTGCCACCGCTCTCGGCGCAGGAGGAGGTAGCGACAGGGGAACGCCACCGTCTCAAAGACCGCCGCCTTATTCTGTTCACCCCCCTCTCTCTCAAGCACAGGGGCACAACCCCTCCCCGACCCAGGCACATCCGACCGTCCAAATCCCCTCAAATGGAGCAAGCGGAACTGTCGCAAACCCCAGTCCAACACAGAGGAAGGTCGTACACCGTGTGCCAGCACCGCAAGACCTTAGGGAGCTATCAAGAGAAACCGCTGGTGAACACCTCGCTTCTCTAGCTTCCTTCGCTTCCCTGGGTTTCAATTCGCACGGTTCATGGCCCGGGCCCGGGGCAACGGCGCCATTACAGCAACGGACATCACCTACTGCTGCCCGGCAACAAACACGCGCATCTCCTACTACCGCCCGTGCCCCCCCTCCTCCTCCTCCACAACAACAGCTCCGCGGAAATCAGTCTGCGTTCTTCCCCGATCTGGGGCATGTCGCTCAATCGCAGGCTCTGGCACAAGGGCAAGGGCAAGTGCAAGGACTCCCGCAAATTCAGGGCCACGCACGAAATCTTACACCCCCGGGCCCCCCAACACTTCGTCGCATGTCGCAGCGTACTGTTCCGCAAGTACCGAGGCGGGACGGTCTGAACCTCAACATGGGGCAAGGTCAAGCTCCTTCCCCTCCCTCCCTCCCTCCTACTGCCCCTGCCGGCCCTCGAGCACGCACATCCTCCGTCTCCCACCCCGACCTTGGGAACAGCTCCAACCCCAGCAGTGCCGAAGGACGTACCACCCCGACATATCATACCGCATATACGAGCATGCCTGACACTACCAGTGCAAGTGCCAAGAGCGGAAACATGACGGATTACAGCGAGCCGTTCTATTTTGATCGCCCGCTCGACCCGGCGATTCAGGCGAGGCCCATATATCCCAGACCGGGATCTGGGGAGCGCTCAGGGAACAGGGTTGGACAAGGTACACCTGAGCAGCTGTTAGACGACAGGGACGATGAGGGAGAGGGGGATGAACATCTTGCCGGAGAGCAGGTGGGGGGAGCAGGTCAGATGGTGCAAGCCCCGCATTCGGGTAGCGAGACGAGCGAGTATGATGTGGTGACGCGGTACATACTCTCGGACGTTCCGTCGCGAAACCATTCCTCTGATGCTGGGCGGGCGGAAATTCAGGTGGCGGAGGAAGAAGAGGAGGAGGAGGAGGAAGGAGACGAAGGCACTCCACCGCAGCCGTCCGGGCATTCCCAATCCCTCCCCAGCTCTAATGTCGATGCCGCCCCTGATGCCGAGTACCTCGAGATGGAAACTCCGCGAAGCGTGCCCTCCGCCCTACCAGGAGAGGGAAACGATTTCCCTGGCCCACACGCAAGGTTCACCCGCCCGGGGGGAGGATGGGGCTGGCACAATAGTGGCAGCAGCGCCGGTGCTGGGAGAGGGTGGAATCAGAGACCGTATGGCATTGGCGAACCGTTCGGCATGTTCCCCCGCCATGGGCAGGGACAAGGAAGAAATGGGCACGATGTCGAGGTTCTGTTCGACCCCCGGAAAGCAGGGCACGCGTCAATGTATGACCTTCTGAGCCCGACCACCAATATCAGCAGCCTGGATGGGATCCTCATGGGTTACGCAGGAAGCGTTGGAGATGCGGCGAGCGCGGTGCAGGATGGCCGGAGCAAGCAAGGCCAGGGGGGGAATGTAAGCGAAGATGGAGATCCGCGCGTGGCCCAGCCTTTCCCGAAGCACGCCTTGTCACTCCGCGATCTCAGTATACAGATGCAGCTGAGGGCACAGGCCGGGGAGATGAACATGGGCCAGATGGCCCTTCCCTCCCAGCATTGGGCTCTGGAGGACGCTCCGACTCGGGAAGGCAGTGTGGGGACGAGTTTCGAAGGCAATATGGATGCACTCATGCACTATATTGGTCGACCCTCTGCACCTATTCCTCCTACGCCGTTTACCCAGACTGGCACACCCGCAATCGACCTGCACGCCCACCTACGCGACCACGAGGAGGAAATCCCACCCTTGCCAGACTATGCCTATCCTCCTCTGCACTTCCCACATGAGCCTGGCGCAATGACGGAGAGCACGATGTCAAGTCCGTTTGATGGAAACCCGTTCCTCCCGTACCAAGCTATGAGTCTGCAGAGTACGCCCAGCGTGCGCGGACTGAACCTGCTTCGTTCAGACCAGAATTGGATGCGCAGTCGCTTGAACAGCCGCCCAGGCCAGACGCACCCAGGGTACAACCATATCAGACCTCCCAGTAGCGTTTCTGGTGAGAGCGCCGAGCCACAGGACACGGAGAGCGAGGGTGAAGAGGATGAGGACGACGTGTGGATCGACGAGGCCAGCGACGATGATCTTGACGCTGAATTCCATCAGGATTACATCGTTGACAAGGCGTCACGCCGCACACGGTTCGAGAGCAAAATGCGCACCCTTGTGCGACAGTTTCGCGAGCTGGACCGTACGACCGACGCCACCATGCTTCTTATTGCTAGCAATCCGGATCAAAGGCATACGCACCTCGTGCTAAGCAGGAGCGTGCGGAGGCACCCGAACTACATCGCTTTTGCCCAGAGTGCAAGGCACAGCTTTGCCCAAGTCGCTGATTCTAGGCGAGCAGAGAGAGCCAGCCGAGCAAGGATGACCCAGTACCAGCAGAGACCTTCAACGATGAGAAGAAAGTCGAGTGGATTCATGTTATCCTCCTATCCAGCTGGACAGGATAACAGCGGTTCTGCGACTAGTGACAGTGCAACAAGCGTGACCCGCAGCGCGGTTGCGAGCAGCATGACAAGCCTGCCAGTGCTTGAACCCCTCAAGACTCTCCGTGCTATCGACCCGAGTAAGATGTCCGCCGTGGACTTCCGTACGGCCATGTTAGCCGAACTTGACAAACTGGGGGCGGTCAATGGCGGATTCAAGCAGCATGCGCAGGCACAGCCAGACTCCACTGAAGAAATGCAGAGGCGTGCGTTGCAACAATACCAACATGTAGGCTTGACTGGGCGGGAAGGCGCAGAGATACTCTGGCGTAATATGCAGGTTGACCGGAGCCTAAGTTCCACTGATGCCACCGGGGTCAACGGGTCAGATCTGCGCTAGATGCTCAGTATTCCCCAGCAGCTTGTACTTATTCATTCAGACCTCCCTCACGTGTTTCGTTTGCAACCTTATTGTATGTAATGAGCCATGGTCTTGTATTCATACAGTGTGCACATCTCATGCCATCCTTTTATCTACCGACTCAGAAGTGCGCACGCGCGTCTTTGATGCATCTGTCACAGCATGAGCGGCGCGGATGACACACCGTCTGTTCGAACTCCGTTAGTTGTGGTTCTGTAGAATGTGGAACCGCATGCCTCCTGTTCAAGATGCTTTCAGGACCAGTGAAACAGATTGCATCGTAGAAGAATCCCTCCAAGAAGACTTCCGCACTGAGATGCTGTGAGTAATAGAGCTGAAAGGAGAGTACACGACTCACGATGGGACCCCAGAGCCAGTAGTGACTTGGAGTACTGTTAGTGTTAAAGGTCGAATTCAACTGTCACCTCACGAGTTCGCAACCCAAACGTTTGATGGATATCCCACAGCTGACAGAATGAGACGAGATGCCAGATCTCGGATAGGCTGGTGTTTTGATCTGAGTCCAACGAGTGGCACGCAAATTGGATGCTTACATTGATTGTCCAATGCTTATTCAACCCAAAGCAGAGCCCGATACCAGCAAAAACGATACCCAGGGCCGGTGGCACAAGTTCGGGCACAATAGAACAATTTTCACTGTCTGTCAAAGCAAAGAGGGCCAGGACGAAGATGGCAGCACACAGGAACTGTCTTATACGCTCAGCAGAAATGTCAAGTTTTTTGAGTAAAGATCACACACCTCAGAGAAGAACGCCGTTGCTGGTGAAGTGTACAAATTGGGACTCGCCAGAAAAATTGATGACGAGTCTCTGGTCACGTCGTCCTTCGCACGATTGAGAGCTTCCCTACCTTTCATATAAACGAGGATGAATGTTATCTTTAAGAACATGTAGAAACCTGTAAAGTCCATAGACTATTGCTGCCCCAACACATCCTCCAAGTAGCTGAGAAAGCCAGTATACAACGTCCTTAACCCATGAGAACCGTCGCAGACTGGCAAACGCGAGTGTTACTGCCTGCAACATTAATCAGAAAGAGAATATAAAGCAAGTTTGAGCACAAACTGGATTGAGATGGCCACCAGAGATGCCTCCAGAAACCCAAAGGCCCAGGCAAAGACCGATTCCCCACCCGAAACACATAGACGCGTAATCCTACATTGTCTTCTCAGCTACGGTTTTGCGTCCAGAATGAGATCCGTACACCTCTGGGTTCCCCAGGAAACATAGTCGCATTTGACGACAATGATGATTGAAAAGAAGCCGCAAGTCCAAACATAACGAAGAGCAAAGTCCCAAGAAACTCCGCCAGTGACTGTCGCAACAGAGCGCGGAATCTTGACCAACGGTTTTCTTGATAGAGAAGCTCGTTCTCCAGGATATGAACCGTCATGGAATTATTGTCAGACATCGCTGGGTTGTTGTGTTGTGCATCCTGTCACTTCATACGGCAACGGTTTTGCTTTCTTATAACATAGGAGCATCATAACGAAGAAAATTCATGACGCCCAGTGTGACGAGAAGATCCGATACCTCTGTGATCCGCGTTCAGTGATAGGCCCAAACATACAGCAATGCAGGCAAATTGCCATCCGCAAGTGATGTGCATGGCGCACGTTCTCTCATATGTTGCCTGTTTCTTCAAGCATATCTGATAAGACGAGTAATTTCCTCCGATGCCCCCTCTTCGGAGACAAAGTTCCTACAATGTCCCTCCGGAGGCAATTGCCCTAAACGCCCTCTGTTCTTTACATGTGCTGCATCTTTGCATTGTCATTGTGGCAGTGAGAAAGAACATCATGGTTTTAAATAGTTCAGGGGTCCCACAAGTTTTGGATGTTATAGTATGGAAAAAAATGCCTAATCAAAGAGTGAAATCTATCTCAGTCATTTTGGTACATTGCTGTTATTATAACCCTCAAATAACACCTCTACTTAAGAGTATATACAGTCAACTCTGTCTTTGTGTGTAGGCTCAGTACAGATGGTTCATATGCAGCAATAGAGGGTATGCAGGATGAGAGAGGGAGGCCAGAGGTAAATTTTTTCCCAATACATTAGGAGAAATATGACATGAGGCTACACTGGGTGAGAGATTGGACATGGAGATGTTTTAGTGCATCCATCATTGAAGGGAAAGCCCACAGCATGTCCTGGAAAGCTCTGCTAGGCTGAGCAGTAAACAGACACTCCAGCTCAAGTGATGCAGCCAGCACTTTCTGAGCAGACCACAGAGGTGCAACTGGTTCCTCCTCCTCCTTGTCATCAAGCACCTCAATAACCTCATCCTGCCACATCTCCTCCTGCACCTGCTCCACAATATCCTCATTGGTCCACTGCTCTGACACCACCTGTTCTTCTGGCACATCAAGCATCTCCTCTGGTGTTAGGACATCGAGTTGTGCAATTGCACCAACCTCTTGCAGCATGGTGATTGCATTGAGCAGCTCATGTAGTGCAGCTTGCAGATAAGGCTCCTGTGTAATAGGCAGAGCTGGCAGTTCAATGACAACAGGATCATCTGGGCCTGCCAACTTACCATCCTGGTGACAAGGCAGTGTGAGAATTCTGGACCATCACCAGCAGTTCACAATTGTCTCCTGCTTCACCTCTTGCCATGCCTTGTCCACATGTCCCATGATCTCCAGCTGCTCAATATTGTACAGCTGATGTGTTGGTATTCCTGCAGCTTGCCTCAGAATGGTTTGGTTGCAGAACTTGTTTCAGTAGTTTGCCTTGAAGCAGTGGATTATGCCTTGGTCAAGCAGCTGAATATGGCTCATCATGTTTGCAGGCAAATACTCAATGCAGATATTGGTGAGGGTGTTGGGTTTGACTTTGTGTGTGGACATCTGGTCAATAAGGAGCAGGATATGGCATCCTTGTGCATGCATCCTCCAGTCTAGATCTGCAGTGTACCTATGCCACAATCAGTATAGTTACATACTACATGATGAGATGGAGGCACACCATTCAAATATACTTGTCACCATTCAGGCTGTCTTCTTCCAGAAGTACTAATACCCATAAGCCTTCCCTTCCTTCTCTCAAAAGCTCCTAGGCCAACATGATTTGCCAATGACAAGCAGATTGATGTATTCTGAGCCATTCTGTTAGGGCAACACAGGCTGACTAAGTCTGCTCACCTAAGAGTGCCAAGAG